CACCACTGCCTGACAAAATTTAAGCAGAAATACTTTGAATGTACATTAATAATAAAAATTTAAACAATTTACGTGACAAAACCTAAAAGGAAAGAAAACAAATGGAGATAAATTTAAAATGTAAGGCTTACGTCATCAAAATGCACCTGTCGCCAACCTCAGTGTTCCCAAAAACATGGCTTGCAGGATATAAATGGCAGCCATTTCCCAGCCTGACGGAAGACCCAATGGTACAAAAGGCACCTATTGAAACATCCTATCCAAGGAGATAAAGGCCATCAAGAGTCATTTGCAAATGATTGAAAACACATAAAAGTAGTGTCCCAAGTTGATCGTCACCAATCAGATGAATGTAAATGTATAAGCTCCTAGGCCATCAACAGATTTGGAATCATAAATTTTTTTGAAGGAAAATAAAGAATACATATAGCAAGGGGCCAAGGTGGTAACCCCATGAATGAAGAAGAATAAACATATCCAGCCACCATGGTGTAGTACCCCACCTAACACATTGGCTTTCAAGTAAGCTGGGAAATGATACAGTACAGATTGTGGAAAACCTCCTGCAACAAGCCAGAAAACCATCCTCCCAGCATATAGAGATCATGAATTGGTCAATCGTGATGAACAAGTTCCACTAGTATCTAGAGACCATGTATATGCATTTGCGAGGGGCAGATCTCTCAATTTATAGTCCTGAATATCATTAAAGCCCCCAACTGATGTTGTGTCTCCGGTCCCTCCCAACTTCTCTCAGGAATACATATGTGTTGGAATCTCACTCTACGCACCAGAAAGGATGTAAAACTCGAAGAGCAATGATACTTCTTTCCATAAGAAAGACCTATCCCTAGGTCTTCTAACCAGCCCATGCACGCATGTAAAACACAAGCTGCCTTTTCCTTTCATGTTAAGAAATATTGATAGGGAAAAGACTCCTACCAAATTAATCCAACTTGCAAACCTAGTATCCTGTATTATTAATATCCCCTACACTCGAAGCCCTAGACGATGGAAATACTACCCACTCTTAAAACCTCGACTTCCAAACGACAAATGCTACGAACCTTAACTGTCTCTATCAGACACAAATTAGAACAATATATTGGTTTGCCCTAGAGACTACCTCTTTGATCTTGTTCTTGTCAATCCCGAACTCAACCAATTCAGTCCAACTAACTACTTTTATTGACAACTACTTATTCTCTTTCTTTTCCATGAACCATCTTGACTCATCCTATTAACTGAGTACTTAATCTTTTGGTCTACCTTCTTCTTACTAAACACATATGACATAATGCCGGATAGGCCACGACAAGCTCCAAAGACACAAGCTACCAGCAAGAAGCAACAGGCCTGCAAGCAAGCAAACTCCCACAAATTCACCTGCGTCATATGCACGGAGAGAGGTGACATGTATAAACATGCCTGCGAGTGGAGAATCCCGTGCACACATGCTCTGAGAAGAATCTGCGCCTGCAGGAGGGGGATTTTCCCCGAGTGGAAGAAACAATTTACTTCTGCAAGGACTCCCGCGACTCTGTTCGAAAGAAGGCCCAAGATTTCGGCCCAATGAGGTCTCCAACGTCAGCCCAAGCACAAGAACTGTCTAAGAAGGGTCAAGAGCACCGATCTAAAGGCCTTAGGAGAGAAAAGCTATGGCTGTTAGACCCTATTCCAAGAGCAAGCCCCAAAAGGACCCAACAAGGGCCCAACCGCTCGGCACAACCAAATGGGCGTGAAGGATTCCATTGTGCGGTCCAAGAAGGAGCCAGGAAAGGCCCAAGGACCAAAGCCAAGACTCAGCCTTGTACGGAATTAATTCTAGGCCCGCAAGGCCGAGAGGAGGGAGGAAGAGAAAGTCCTGCTTTGGCAGAAATTCTCTCCCCTTAAGGAATCTAATTTCTCGTGTACTTCTTTTCTTGAAACTTGAAGAATTCTAATCAAACTCCAAGATCACATGCGGATAAGAAAGAAGAGACCAAAAAACATCCATATTTGAGTCCTAGCAAGAGTAGGAGGCGCAGCCAAGAACGGAAGATCCATCCCCCCCACACAGGAACTCTAACCCAAGAGGAATCCTCACATCCGCTCGCTAACTCCTCCACTCAAGAATCGACCAGAAGTCCTTTTGGACTTGGATTTGTGACAAGAAGAAAAACTACACACGGCTTAAGATACACAACTTCAAGGTCTCATCTTCAATTAAAATTAATTAATTAATCTAAGTCCAAATCCAAAAGATTCAAAGAAGACAAGTTCCGCAAGGTGACTTCAAGTTATTCAAGAGAGGAGTCATTATTTTATTGGCTTTCTAGTTATTTTAATTATTATTTTAATACTTTTATATACTAAAGTTAAATTAAGTGCTTCATTGAGATTTTAATTTTTGAGTTTTATTTGGATTTGTAAGGTGGATGTTTATAGAAAGGTCACCACCGTTTAATTGTAAATACAATTTTCATATTAATAAAATTTTAGATTATTTGCTTTTAGCTATTGATAATTGTGAGAGAATGTTGAATCAAGTGAGGTTGGTTCGACCGTCTTATTGAGCTAATGACTCAAATCAACTTATCAAGTAAGTTGT